TATATATTTTATTTGGAAAAACTGTATATTTTTCTTCAATCATAACCAGGTCCAAACTGTTGAGGAACAAGTTAGAGCTTCTGCTGAGCACAAACTTGGGGTTGCTAATCAGAGTATAACTGCTGGTTTTTTCGACAATAATACAAGGTATGATCTGGTACCTGCTAAATAAAGTTGGAGTCATATTCAGTACCATTGTCTGTGCTGAGAAAAATCATAATATGTCAGTGCTGAAGATCGAAGAGAATACTTGGAATCTCTTCTCCGGGAGTGCAAGAAAGAGGAGGTTGCACCTGTTCTAGATGATGATTCTCTTAATGATGTTATAGCGCGCAGGTATAATTTATCTTGTGGCGACACTTCATTTGTGGATGTATGTTAGGTAATAGGGTCATGAATTAAGGTGTAATCCCAACATACCACAGCAAGATCTCTCATGGTAAAGAGAAAATGAATAACACGGAACTTGTGTTTCCAGCTTTCAGAAAATCTACGACGCCCAATTGCATTTGGTATTCTTGACATGCCTCATTAACCCAATTATTTCCAAACTATATATCCATAATCTTGATCTACTCTTGATTGAAATTGTTACCTAATTTCATCTCAGATATTTTTAATTGCACTTAAGACAATAATTCCTTTTTATTCAAATATGACTTTCTCCTTATCCTTCCTGAAATAACATCTCTTGGGAATTAAAAACCACCAGTCACCTTTGTACCGTAACTTCAATCAAGTTCAATGTCTTCTGTCCCGCGCAGATTCTCATTTCATTTATTTTAAAAACTAAAATATTTTCTACCATCATCAATTCAATGAAAAGTATTTTCACTTGGGTAATTGATGTCGTGAGAGTGCATTAGCATTTCTCGACAAACACGATCGGCTTCGATCTTTAGTGTGATTATTATTATTATATGTATTTTAGTATTTGTGTGTATTTAGTTATGTTGTGTGTTGGGCTTGTTTGTATTTATTTATGTTGTGTGTTGGGTTTGTATTATTATGGGCTTTAAGTCTATGTGATTAGGATAGATATTATTAATAACCGTAGGAACGTTGTGGACATCAGTTATCTGAATATTGAATGAAAAATTATCTGTGTTCTTCGTTCTCTTTGAACATTCATCTGTTCATCCTTTCTTTACATGCTTCTTGCTGCATCAGTAATGCTTGTTTTTCCTGTTAGATTTTTTTGTAATCTTGTACAATGCATAGTATTAGGCCTACGGTTTGATATTTTGCTTTTACAAGTCCGTTTCTCTTTTTTTGTGTATGGCAATCCTGCTGTCTTTTTTATGTCATGTCATCTAGTTAGTTTATAATGACAACTTATCTGCAGTGAGGCAGAAATTGATATTTTTGAGTCAGTTGATAAAGAGAGGCGAGCACAAGAAATGGTACCCACCAAATCTTATTATTTTTTGCTGTACTCCTGTTGGTATGCCTGAGCTGTGGCAGTGCTCATTGCTTGTCATTTCTTGTGCAGGTTGCATGGAAAAATATGTTTGAAGGAGATGGTTCGGAGAAACCTGAGCAGATTCCACCTCTGCCTTCTCGACTTTTAACTGATGATGACTTAAAATCATTTTACGATGTCATGAAGATCTCCGAAACACCGACACCTAGCGTATTACCTAACCCTGGGATGAAGAGGAAGAGTGGGTATATTGGAGGCCTTGATACCCAACAATATGGAAGAGGCAAACGTGCTAGGGAGGTTCGTTAATACAATTTCGCACTACCAGCCAAATATTTGCGTTTGTTCTCATCTGATTTTTGCTATCATATTTCATGTCCACTCATTTAGGTGCGTTCTTATGAAGAGCAAATGACAGAGGAAGAGTTTGAAAGAATGTGCGCTTTCGAGTCTCCAGATTCCCCCATAGTGAAGCAAGAAACCACTGGGCAAACATCGGTGGCTGTTGCCTCAAGCAGCCCGACTGTGGTCATGGGTGGGACGCAAGCACTGGCAGCACCTCAACTACTTCAACATCCAAAAGTCGAGCCTAATACGACGCTGCAAAGTAAAGCAATTGCCCCTACGCCTGCCCCTACGCCTACTCCTCCATCTAAAAGGGGGCGTGGGAGGCCGAAAAGAGTCGTGGTTGAACCCTCTCCACCGGCTCCATGTCCTCTGCCTTTGGGGTTTGAAAAGCCAGAGGAGGTCCCCAAGGTTGAATCTAAGTCTGTGGAACCTGGCCTGAGTTCTTTATCTAGCAATACAGCTTATGATAGAAGTATCAGTGATGTTGGTGTGCAAGATTCGGGAAGGATTCCTACTACTGCAACCAACTCCGTGCCAGCTATTCCTCCTCCAGTCACAGTCACTGTCACGCCTATCTCCCAAATTACTCCTGTTATATCCACATCGTCCGGGCGGGGCAGAGGACGGGCTCGAAAATCTCAAACAGTTGGAGAAACTCCTACTTCAAGGCGCCGAGGAAAAATACAGCCCGTAACATTACAACCTGTCCCAGTGACGCCTTCTGTCACTAGTGATAAACTGCCCACAGGAGACATTACTCCTAGCTTGTCTTATCCTGCAAGTACTACTGCCGTTCAAGTGAACGCCGTTGTTAAAGAAGTTTCCAGTGAATTGAATTCAGCTTCACCGGCTTCTGTGGCACCAACTGTCGCACCTGTTTCTGTGGCGCCATCCGTACCTGCGCCTGTTTCTGTGGCGCCATCCGTACCTGCGCCTGTTTCTGTGGCACCATCCGTACCTGCGCCTGCTTCTGGGGTGCCATCCGTACCTGCGGCTGTTCCTGTGGCACCATCCATACCTGCGCCTGCTTCTGGGGTACCATCCGTACCTGCGGCTGTTTCTGTGGCACCATCCGTACCTGCGGCTGTTTCTGTGGCACCATCCGTACCTGCGCCTGCTTCTGTGGTTCCCACAACTTCAGGCTTAAGTCCAGTTGACGTGAAGTCACAGCTAGGGGTCCAGCCTGGTTCTGTAGTGGCTTCTGCTCATGTTTCTACGGGTCCGGTGTTGGTGGCGAGTGTTAATCAGCCAGGTTCCACCATCATGCCTACATCAAGTCCCGAAGCTGGCACTTCTGTAGTCCCTGGTGTTCTTGTTGAACCATTTCCTTCCCCTTCTGTAACAAGCCGTGGGCGGGGCCGAGGGCGGGGGCGGGGCCGGGCCCGAGGCCGAGGGCTAAATACTGCTCCTAGTCAAGAAGAGACGACGCCACTCCAGCGTAGGCGAAGGAGGCAGGAGCCTGCAGTGTCCGTTGTTCCTGGTGCAGCAACTGGTCAGGACTCAGCATCGAGTGAACCTCCACAGAAAAGAACTCGAGCTTCTGGTGGACGGAAGGACGTCACAGTAAGTGAGAGGGACCAACAATCAACAATCACAAGTCAAAATATTGGAGGTCCTGCTGATGACCAAGTTCCAAAAGGTTGGATTCACTCTATTAGAGTAGGTACATGGTTTGTGATTTCTGTAAGGGAATTTAGGATGCTCTATGAGATATGCCAAAATTAATTTATTCTTCGTTGCCAAAAAAATGTGGTTTGTACATTACGCATATGAATCATTTTTTTGAACGCAAGGGGAAGGGGAAGGGAAAACGAGAGTTTGAGTAGGAAGGTGAAGGAGGAGCTTAGTTTATGTGGGGGAACTTTGGTCAGGATTTGTCCTATAAGTAGGTGTTCCCAAACGGAAGTAGATTTGTAGTTGTTATCTGTGTATGGAAGGAGAACAAATCGTCATGGCGCATTTGGATATGATTTTCTTTTACGTCTTTTTTCTTTTTCAATTTCCACTCCACTGGAGTAGCTTTTTAGCCAAAGATGCATATTCGGGAAATACACTATTCACTCACTTGCCACTTGTTAGGTATCCTTAGCCAGTTGCAGTGCCTGTACATATATATATATATATATATTTTTTATCATGTGCACATTTCCTATCAGCTTTTTATTGAATTGTCTTAATATTCAATTGAGTAAATTAGGCGTACATATCTGGTCTCTGCTACAGGTGAAGTCATGGGTGAAGAAAAGTTTGCGGATCCTCCCCAAGAGCAAACTAAAAATGGAAAAGAAGAAAAGGACCATACCAATGCGTTAAATTCCAACTTTGCTGATGGTTTGCCACCCGTGTTGACCTCTAGTTCAGCAGCTAAAGAATCTAATAACAAGACAGTGTCCGTTAACAAGGATCCTTGTGGGGATGGTCCTCTTGTTTCAGTTCCTGTGGTGTTTGGAAGTGATATTGAACATGGAACATCTGGAGACACACAATCTTTACTACTAATGAATAGCAGCTCTATTGTGATGGATAAAGAGCAAGTTTCTGATAGATCTACTGTTGAGGCTGCAGCTACACCTGGATCAATGCCTATTGCTGGTGAAAATGAAGATGGAAAGATTGACGTACTTGTGAAAAGCACAAATATGTATGAACTTCCAGCATCAGATAATTTGTTGAAGGGCTCAACTGATCAAGTTTCCTCTAGCTCAATCCTTGAATTATTTGATACGGAAAGGACTCCAGTTGCAGCTGAAGTTCCCCAGAGCAACCCTGTTGAGGCAGCCAAAGGGCAGGTTCTGGATGGTGCCCGAACTCAGGCTGGTTCAGCTCTTGGATCAATGCCTTCACCTGCTGAGACAGGCCAGTGTGTGTCTTCTTGTGTAAAGGAAGGGGACAAAATTGTTGAGTCTTCTAAAAGGCCTAATCTGGATGAATCTTCAGCTTTGGTCAATAACACTTCCAAGATGGCAAAAAACATTGATAATGAATCTGGAGAAGTGCAAAAGGATGAGCATGAAAACAAGGCAACTACAGTTGAGGCGCCTGTTTCGACTGCTGCTGAACTTCATGTGAATATTTCTGCTGTGGCCACCTGCCCCGATCCTCCTGGCAGTGTTACAAAGGAAGTATGCAGTGAACCTGATTCAGATTCACCCGATGCTTTGGCATCATCTGCTTCTGGCAATGTTGATGTTGGGTCACAAGGAGCATTGGCCAGTGCTTCAGAAACTGGTATTGTAGCTGTGGGAAGCGTTGATCAGCCAGAATCAACTCTCAAAGCAGTAGATCAAGATATTGCAGAATCAACACCCAAAGCAGTAGATCAAGATATTGCAGATTCAATACTCAAAGCTGTAGATCAAGATGCAGAATCGGCAACGAAAGCAGTAGATCAGGATATTGCAGATCTTGCCATGGAGCCTCATCTTAAAGGTAGAGTAATTCCATCTGCAGTTTAAATCTTTTTTAGGTCCAGGCTATGCCTTTATGATATTGGATTTTAGAATGATATTACAAATACAATTAATTGTAGCAGGCAAAGATCAAGGCATCCAAGTCCCCACATCAAAACCTTCTGATACATTGCCATCAACCTCGACCTTGGATCCAGCAGTTGTAGCCTCTCTCTCTCTGGATTTCAATTCAGGTACTCAGTCCACTGGAGGAGGCGGAGAGTCTAATGATAATGATAAGGACCCCTGTGGGAATGATAGTTCGTTAGCATCAACCCCCATGGTATCAGCAAGTGATAGCTTTGCGGCATCCGAAGATTTACATGCAGGGGACACATCTATTGAGGTCGTAAAAGAGCAAGGTTCAAATGAAGCTACTTCTGAGGCTGCAGAACATGAATCAACTTCTCCTGCTGGTGAGAGTGCTATATTAGGCCTTTCTCCCATTAATGGGAAAATGAAAAAATATTGTAATTTTATTATTTTTGCATATGGTCTTATGTGTTTATTTCCTTGTTCCAGATGACTTAATACAGGGAGCCACTGATAATGTGGTGCCACATCAAGGTGTTTTAAATGACATGGCTTCTAGTGGTGCTATTACTGATCCTGTGGCTGTGGAGAGTGTTGACTTGCCAGATTCTGGCGTAGAGCCCTCCGAGAGTGCTCAAGTTACTGCTCAAGATGACATGGCTTCTAGTGATGCTATTACTAACCCTGTGGCCGTGGAGAGTGTTGATGTGCCAGATTCTGGCGTTGTGCCCTCCGAGAGTGCTCAAGCCGCTCAAGATATTGTGCTTGCTGCCGTGGATCAAGCTCCCAATGGTAAAGTGTTTCTTAGTTTAAGTGATTTTGGTCTATACTATACTAATCACTGAAGTGGATTGTAGCATCTAGCAGGATTAAATTCCAACAATTTGTTTGTTAAAATGTAACAGAGTGGAACTGAAATAGCGTACAATCCATTTATTACCAATGGATCAATAAGTGATGATTCGATTCTGAGCACTTCGCTTCTTCTCAACTGGATGAAGTTTCAAATTTCATAACTGAACACATGGCTAAAAGTATTTTCTCTGATACAGATACCGACATCGACAAACCAAACAAGTCGGACGATTCCCATCAGGAACAAGATGTGAATGGAGAAGAAGGCAAGGAAGTCGCTGATTCTAACTTATCCGAATGCTCGACTCTCGAGGACTCCAAGGCACCTGAAAATCCATCGGTGGATCCGGCTGCTCCTGAAAATCCATCTGAGGACATGCCCGGGAAGGAATCTGGAAAATCACCTGCTGAACAGGCTGAAAAAGAAAATGAAAAAATTGTGCGTTCAGATGATCCGTCTGATGTGGCAGAAAATATCCTGTCCGATGCGCCTGTGGATGCATCTACAGTCGAAAAAGTAGCTGGAGAGCAAAACTGTGGTGACAGAGACAAGGATGATAAAGGCATGGATTTGAAATCCCAATCAGATGAAATTTCGGTTGTGTTGGAAGAGTCTGTGAATCGTGAGGAGGTGCAGCCCTAGACAACTGAACTGGCAGTGGAGGTTAGAGTGTGGTTGTTAGCCTTTTACTAGTGTTTCTGCTGCCATTAAAGCGTATGTATAATATATATGTT